ACGCCGGCGGGCGGCGGCGGCGGGCGGCGGCCGCGGCGACGACGACGACGACAAAGGCGCTCCTCATCGCTCCTCATCCCCCTCCTCCTTCCTCCTCCTCCTCCTCCTCCTCTTCCTCCTCCTCCTCGTCCTCCTCCTCCTCCTCCTCCTCCTCCTCCTCCTCCTCCTCCTCCTCCTCCTCCTCCTCCTCCTCCTCCCCCCATTCAGAATGGACGACATCCGACGACAAAGGCGCCCCTCATCGCTCCTCATCCCCTCCTCCCTCCTAATTTTCCTCCTCCTCTTTCTCGTCCTCCTCCTCTTCCTCCTCCTCCTGCAAAGCCGTCAAAAAACTGCAAACACCTAGAAGCCCCATGAAAAAAGTAACAACAAATTTATCGACAACTACACAGCTCCCGACGCCGCAGCTCCACACTGCAAACGACCACTCGGACAGGCGACCACGGTGCGACATTATGGGCCGGCGGAATGAGCGAAGCGATTAAAAGGAAAAAAAACATAAACACACACACACACACCTTCGAAGGTTCACGCGGATTTTTCGGATCGGCGGTGGACCCCCCCTCCCCTGGCCCGCGGGGCGCGCCAGGGGCGGCGCCGCCATGGTGGCCCAACGCAGATCCCCAGAAGATCGCAGGGACCTTCGGAAGTCTATGCTCGTGTGGTATCTTGCTCCTCTGCTCCCCTGGATGGGGGCTGGGGAGGATGCCAAGGGGGCCCTATGCAGATCTAATAATAAAACCGCACAGACCTCCGAAAGCCTATGCTCTAGAGGAGGAGGAGGAGGAGGAGGAGGAGGAGGAGGGAGGGGAAAGGGTTCTGAGATCCGACGTTGCAGAAAAATGAAGCATCGCAACGTCGCGGATTAACAACATGAATCCGCCGGATGTCTGGGAGCTCGTTTTCCCGCCTCGCCCATCCGGGCCGGGCCGTGCCTCTGCCCTCCCCCGGCCAAACCCGGGGGGAAGGCCTCGCGCGCGCGCGTCGATCCTGGACGCACCGGCCAGGATCAACGAGGCGGGCAACATACCCTGAGATCGCTTCGTTCCAGATGAAGGCCCTCGACCTAATCTTTCTGCTGCATTTTTCGAGCCAGACCGATCTGCGAGGTTCCCGGCTTCCGAGTCCAAGCGAAAACGCCGGGCGATAATAAACTGCAATGCCCGGATCTCAGATGAGATGATCAAATTTATGCTTACAGTCACCGTGCCACCATAAAGATTGCTGACTAAGGAACGAAGGGGCTTTTCTGGGCTCGGCGAGCCTTATGCAATAACAGGCTCCTCGACACGAATCGAAGGACCAGTCCGCAAACCAGAGCCCCTCCTGAGCCCTGAGCCCAAAGAGGTCCTTCTGTTCCAGCGTCGCGAGTCATGACAGGTATGCAGGTTCTGGCTCTTCGACTGCCTCCACGGCGAGGCCTCCTCACTGGGCTGCGCGCCGCTGGGGCTGGTGAGCTCCCGCCACAGGGCCCACGCCTGCTCCGGGCGCTGGGCGTGGCCGTAGGCCCGGAGCAGCGTGGCATGCGCGTGGGGCGAGGGCACGACGCCCGTCGCCCGGAACTGGTCCAGGACCTGCAGGGGTCAACCCTGGACGTGCTCGCGTGAAGGAATCGCCATCCTCGGGCGTCAGGGGGGCCCGCAGGGCTCCGAAAGGGCTCCAAAAGAGCCTCTTTCCCCCCCATGTAAGTCACCCCTCCTCAACGGCCGCCCGAGACGGGCAGATCTTGCTATCCTCTGGCCTTCGGGGGCCCTCGCTGGGCCCCGGGACCGTCAAAAACGACATACGCCTCTAATCCCCTCCGAAGTCAACACCGAATCGGGAAATCGTAACGGACCAGAACGTGCGTCGGATCGGACTGCATCGGCACGGAGTCGGATCGGGCCTGCCTGAATCGATATATGTGATCGGATCGATCGGTTCGAGAGGGACCCCGACCTGAGACAGTCTGTGGACGTCACGAATGCGCACGCACGTGTCCAGCAGACAATTTATAAGCACCTCGTCGGGCACTACGCTGGCGCGCTTCATGAGCGCGATCACCCTGTCCACGTCGCACGCCTGGGGAGCGTGCTTCGCGCCCTTCACCTGGGGAAATCAAACCATCTCGATACTGCCACTCTCCGAGCCCCTCCAAGTGTGCGTTCTGAGCATGAATGTTCAGGCGAATCATGAAAGCCGTGTCGACGAGGACCTCCGAGCCGAGATGGACTAAGAAGGCGAAAACGAGGGAAGGGCAGCAGAATCGGGGCATTGCCCTCCTGATCACCAGGATGGAGCACGTGAAGGCGTCGGGCTGCACCCCAACCTGCTCCATGTCGGCCACGAGCTGCCAGGCCCTCTCCGCGTCCTTCGCCGCGATCGCGCCCTTCACCAGCGAGTTGTACGTCACCGTGTTGGGCGCCAGCGAGCGGCGCCTCATCTCCTCCAGCGCGGCCTCGGCCTCGTCGACAGCCCCGCTGGCAAGCAAGGCCTTGATGTCCGCCTGCCGCGCCTGCCGCGGTTGGTGCGCGTCGGGCAAGACTCTTGCTCGTCCGTCCGTTCGTGCCGCCTCTTGCGCAGCAGGAAGTTGTGCCCTCCCCCCCTCCCCCCCTTGCGAGGGAAATCCCAGGAGGCCTCGAGCGGCAACTTCGGACGCCACTTGCGTCGGACCCACGTCGGATTCTCGTCAGGGCATCGCCGCGCGAACGTCGACCCAGCTCTTGCGAAACAAACCTGTTTCGCACCGCGCGAGGTCTCCAGGATTTTCGTCACAGTCCTCCCACTGGAACGTCGAGGTCGACATGCGCTCATTTGTCCGACCAGGTTCCTTCGCTTTTTTCCCCATTCATGTACAGCATAAAACAGGTGCGCAGCAAGGCCCCAGTGACACGGCGGAGCGTTCGGGGACTGGCTCAGGGAAGAGAACGTCGAGCTGGAATCGACGATACATCGCCGATAGGCACCGCACAGCAAATTCCTGTTCCTGGGCGGCAGGATGGGATATCGGGCCCATTGGCGAGGAACGGGTGATTCGGAGTCGATGCCTCCCCCCCCGAGCCCAGTCCCCCCCACACCCCCCTCCGGTGCCGCCGCCGCCCCAACACAATTGATGCAGGGCGACGATTGAGCATTGCCCGGGGATTCTGCCACGGAGTAGCGCCCTGGGCGATGACGAGCACATCGGGGTCTGGGCCTCCTCGTGGCCGTCGTCGTCTCAGTGGGAACGTTAGGGGGGACCGGCCCAAGTGGAGAAACGTCGACCTGGAATCGACATCGGCGCGAGAGGCGATAGCATTGGTAGATCCCTGGAGAGCGCTGGGGGGGAGGGCGGGGGCGAAGAGCTCGGGGGCGGCTGGCGGCGGACCCTGGGCGAGGGCCCAAAGCCCTGGCGCTCGTCTGGGCCTGGTTGCGGAGGGAGGCCCTCCACCGCACCTGGAGGCCCGGGGGGCCGTGCGTCGCCCGCGGTGGTGGTGGTGGCGCGGAACCGGAATCGGCATCGCATTGTCGATGCATCGGCGCGAGAGGCGATAGCCGAACCGCACATTCCTGGGCGGGGTGGGCCATCGGGCCCCCATCGGCGATCAATGGGCGACTGGGGGTCGACGCACCGCCCCCTGGAGCCTTTTTCCCCCTAACCGACTACCTGCCAGACCACCCCCAGCCAACTCGAAGACCCCAAGGTCGGGTCGGGGGTGCGTACGGGTTCCACATGTTTTTTCTATGTTCCCCGACCCCCCCTCACTGGAAATGGAGGGCAAATCGGGGCCTTCGGGTTGGGCTGGGGTACTTCGGTGGGCGGTGACTAACCTTGTCCCTGATCGCCGTCGTTGAGATTCTCTGGCCGCCCTCTCCAAACTCTTTCCCGTCGGCAGAGATCTATAGTTATTTTCCATCGCTCGCCCCGTGCTGCCCTGAATCGTCATCCCCCCCCTCCCTGCGCCCATCCTAGCGCGACAAGCGGATCCGCGCGGCAGCGCAACAGGATAGGTGTTGTACGAGACGACGTCCACATGGCCGGTGCCCTCCATGCGCCGCAGCAGCTTCCGCGCCTCCGGGAGGTCGCCGCTCACCGCGCACACCTCCAGCACGCAGTTGTAGGCCGTCGTGTCCACCTTCGGGGGACGCCGACTTGTGCACCCCGGCGCCGCCGATCCTGGCAATGCCCATGCAAGGCAAGGCCCACCATCGGTGTATGCGCCCTCCTGCCTTGGCGAGGAAGGCGTATGCACAAATCCTGGACCACCGACTTGCCTTGCCAAAACCATTGTGCTATGGAGAGAACTACTAATCGAAAGCCAATGCCCGGCCAACCCTCTGGCAAGCCAGAACTAACCCTCAGGCCAACCCCTCGGGCAACCCATG